TCGTTTTGTACGCGGATCACCGTGAGATTTCACCCGTGTCATCCTTATAGAGAGTCTAAACCGACTCTCTGATACATCAGAAAGAAGCAGCATAAAGTGTCAACTCACCACGAGGACATTTCCAACAAAGGAGTCTCCCTCGGCCAGTCTCTCTGGAGACGTCTGTCTCACGTGGGACAGGTAGAGAGCCATCCCTCGCAGGAGTCCTTTGGCTGACCAATGTCCATCCAGAACCCTGACACAGGGCAGAGCATTTCTAAAACTAACAAAGTATTAGCTATGACATGTACATGCCATTAACATTTCTGTGCTCTTTTAACTCGTGATGCAACCCTACTTGTTAATACAGTAGGTATAATAACTATAATTACAGGAATAGCAAATGTTTTTTTACCCTCTCTCTCTGTGTGTGTGTGGGTATAATAATTATACAGATGATATACCCTCCAGGTCGAAGGCAAACAGCTGTCCATCCTGAGCCATGAATGGAAACACCTCTTTCTCCAGTGACATAAACTTCACCTAAGACATGAGGAGGGGGGAAGGAGGTTCAAATCAAGTGCTGAACCTGTCGATATCTATCGTTGGTCATTGTGTTTGTGTATTTCAGAGGGATAGAATGAAGGATGAGAGACTGACTCACAAAAGTAATGAAAAGCACTAAAGTGCCAACCCTCGGCGAACTGCGATTGCGCGGTAGCTACTGCTAATGGGTTATTGGCGTTTACTCGCGGTCTCCCGCTAGTCAGAGAGTCTGACACGGGCTAGCTACAGTAGTAGATAGCATGCGGGAGCCGATACACACCCTTCGCTGTGGCTTCTTGCGCCTCCAAGGTACACAGAGCAAGTGGATGAGGTCGAGGTGGGCCAGCATACTGAGTCTAATACACGCATGCGCACCGCTTATTGATGGGTTGGGCCACGCAACGCTGTCCGCGACCGTGTCAGTTTGTCGCTCTCGAACGCAGTCGTTTCAGCAAAATCGCCATTTTATTTTTATAGCCCATGTACCGCTAAAGCTGTTGGTATCGCTCATAAGCCGCCTCGTAGCCTGTAGTGCGAGAATAGTCGTAAACACACAGACACACAGACACACAGAACGACTACCGTAACCCTCGCTGCGCATGCGCGCCGAGGGTTAATAATGCTGTGCATGTGCGTGGTGTTATTCATAGGTTTCCATCAGTTCATTATTCATAGGTTTTTTGGTCAGTTCTTATGTGATTGGAGCACCAGAAAAGCACATGTTGATACACATGTGCAGTGGTAAGCCCCAAGGCATCTTTATCATAAGTGCTCCACACTGCCCTTATCCCCTGGCTGGCTCCACCAGACACACTATTGTACAGCCAGTCAATATGTCCATTAGGCTGATGACACCAGTTTATACAGTGGTTTGGTGGTCAGTGAACTCATACTTTACCACAGGCTGCATGCATAATGTTTATCTTAATATCCATGGCTAGTTAACCCTCGGCGCGCATGCGCAGCGAGGGTTACAGTAGTTGGGTCTGTCTGTCTGTCTGTCTGTTACTCTTCATCTCACTTCTCGAGTGTTCGTTCGTCTCACAAAGGATACAACCTACTGAACGGGCAATGAAGGTCAGAATTTCGAACGGTTTTCTCTGAAACTGCTCCATTGCAAAGCTAGAGCGCGCAAAAGCCAATATGCAAATACACAACTGACGGGAAGGCTTACCACGGTCCGATCGATCCGCGTGCTCTGCGTACCTCGGAGGCACCAGAAGATGCAACGCAGGGCGTGTATCGCCTCTCGCATGCACTCTAGTAGTGTAGTTAGCCCGCGTCAGACTCTGCGCGAGCTGGCAAGAGACCACGAGTAACAGCTAAAACTAAACCCAGCCCATCAATTAGTGGTACGGCGCGTGCGTTTACTTACGCGTGCGCGTCACAGTGCGCCGAGGGTTTGCACTTCAGTGCTTTTCATTTTCTACCATAAGGACTGTAGCTAGTAACATTGATGGTGGTTTCATAAGTCCCTAAACTTTTTCTTAGCTCCCTTAGATGCAATTTTAACACAACTTATTGTGTCCAGAGTATTCTTTTTTCATAAACGAAGGTCATGAAAGTTATTGGTAGTTGAAAACACGCTATATACAGTATTAGGTAACATGGCTAGGGGTTTAGAGTATAATGGTAATGGACAGGGCAATCGTCCAATAATCAAGCCAGTATAGCCATTAAAATTGCTCTGTGGCCAATTTCTTGCGTGATGTGGCAGAATACATGGAACAGACAGACAGACAAACAGACAGACAGAGAGACACACCCACGAACCAAGTACTGTAACACTCACTGTGTATGTGCACTGAGGGTCAACAAGACACATCACTCCTGGTTTTTACACGCAACACATTATGTACCTGTATTCTCTTGAGGACAGTTGGGCTGAAGATGTAGATGCCGGCGTTGATCTTGTTGGAGACAAAGATCTTTGGTTTCTCCACGAACCTGTCAATCTGCCCACTGGTTGGGTTGTACACCACCACGCCATACTTACTTGGCTCCTCAACCTTTGTCACCTGCACGACGTGTAACACAACATAATTGTATTATTATAATGTGTAACGCATCACAATTTGTTGATGATGGGCTGGGCTATAAGTAGTATGCGTTTACTCGTGGTCTCCTGCTAGTAGCTCGTGGAGAGTCTGACACGGGCTAGCCAAAGTAGTAGATAGCATGCGGAAGTCGATACACGCCCTTCGTTGTGACTTCTTGTGCTTTCAAGATACACAGAGCAAGCGAGGTAAGCCTGTGCTAATTAGCATATTGGCTTGTTCACTTGGTTTTCACGCCATAACTCTAGAACACACTACTCTTACGAAAATCGCCATTTTAAAAATGAAGCCAGTGTAGCGTTGAACCCATTGGTGTCGCTATTTACCTGTTTGTTGCGTGTGGTGGCAGAAAACGTGGTAACAGACGGACAGATAGACCAAGTACTGTAACCCTCGCTGCGAATGATGGTGCCAGGAAAAAGTGGGGTAAAGCGCTCACTTCAAATACTATTTCCTTGATAGATGCAATGCTTAGTATTGGCAAAATTTGTAGTTTACACGTATTTATTTTGCCATTGTTAGTATGTGTATTGTAGGAAAATCACATACTTAAGACAACTAGGTGGGCTAGCCAATGCACCGTAACCGTATGAACTCTATGATTATTGTCACATGTATGACATCACATGGGGGTGTCAGCTACACACAATTCTCCACACATTGTCAACTAGATGCCCACATTGCGACAGAAATAATGTGTTTGTTTCCCGCCAGCTATCCACTAACCACAATGGTTCCCTCCTTCCCATGCGAGTGGTGTAGTTCTAACATCTTCTTGAAGGGGTAGCTGCAGATGACGTCACTGTTCAGAACAAAGAAAGGCTCGGCATCTTTCTCCAGTATCTCCCTTGCCAGACCCAGTGGCCCTGCTGTAAGAGACAAACAGTAGAAAACAGAGTGGAGTAAGCAGGCATTTAGTTGACTGTATGTTTTTTCACATAGTCTACGCTATGCTTAGAGTTGATGTGCAGGCATGTAATGAGTACTAAAACGAACAGTGCAAATGAACGAAAACCACATGTACAGTACGTGCAGGTACTACAGTAAGGTATAACTAGGAATGCGCACGTGCATATTTTGCCTCGCGCCTGACAGCCAATGCGTAAACAGTCTGACTGAGGCCGCTCGTGTGCACGCTCTACTGACTGTGCGCGAAGCCAGACTTCCTACAAATCTGCGCGCACGGCGGAAGCTAGACTTCCTACGAATGACTGAAGTTGACATTGCTAAGCGTGACTAATTGACATTCTTAAGCGTGACCGACACGTACGTACGCATATCGCGAGAATACAACCCGGATTAGTTGCCACACACTAATGCGCTCGGCAATTATACAGAGCCGAATAATGCTGCATAGCATGTGTGATGAAATGATCTGTAAAACAACACAATGGGGTTGTGCTTTATTACGTTTCTACAAAGTGACTAGAGAGAAACAGAATTACCAGTTCCCAGAGGTTCTTGTTCATGTGAGAGTGTGATGGTGATGCCCAGCTGCCGGGGAAAGAGGTACATAGGGTTAGAAACACAGGAGAGAACAGCATCTCTTATTGTAGCTACCACAGAGCAGGAAATTACAATGTTTTGCTTCTGCTAGCATGACTTTCCACACTAGCAGGACACTTTCCACACCACCAGTGTTCAGTAATGGATCTCACACATAATACTTCATTAGGGTCGAGAGAGTTCTAATGGACCGTCTTATTTCATTAAAGACTTAGTTTTGAGTCACGAAATTTGCTAGTCAGCATTGTTCTTAGCTCGTTACCCAGGGAAGAGTATGCAAGAGTAAACAATAACGTATTTCGTGACTCAAATTAGTCCTAAATGAAGTAACAATCTCTCTCCCATTCTCCCTCATTAGCAGGAAAATGCACTTGCACCATTAGAAATACTGGACACAGTGGGGCTACCTCAAGCAGGCCACGTCTATCCACTTGACTCTTACACTCACCATATCAAAACCACAAACCTTCCACAAAACCACATGCAGCTTACACCTGTACTGCCAGGCAAGCACTATCCTCAAAGCTGACATGTTCATCCCATCCCATACTTGATGACACTTGTGTGCCATCCAATGATTGTAGTATAATTATGCGTCAACTACGAGGTAGAAAGGCAAAGACACAACAAACAAGTTACACTACGACTTGTACATACAGTAGGCTAGCTTGAGAATATCATTCAAGAAAAATTACAAAAAATTAGCATCGAGTGTGGCCCGGGCTGAGAAGCCCTCCACAGGTCCATTGAGCAGTACCATTGAGTGTCCAGGTGTTTGCCCACAGCCAGTGGCACTGTTGGCACTGGCCTCCTTCCCTTCACAGCCCCCTACCTACACACACACACACACACACTCTCCCATGCCTCATTGAACTTGATAATCACTGAGAAAGGAACAGTTGGTCTTCCCTTTACGACCCCCTACTACACACACTCTCTCTCATCCTTCATTCATACTGCATACCCTCCCATTTCTGATTTAACAAGAATTCAGTGACTGAAATAACTTGATAATGAAAAGCACTGAAGTGCAAACCCTCGGCGCACTGTGACGCGCACGCGTAAGTAAGCGCATGCGCCGTACCACTAATTGATGGGCTGGGTTTAGTTTTAGTGGTCTCTCGCCAACTCGCGTAGAGTCTGACGCGGGCTAACTACACTACTACACATGCTATCTAGATTAGATAGCATGCGAGAGGCGATACACGCCCTGCGTTGCATCTTCTGGTGCCTCCGAAGTACGCAGAGCACGCGGATCGATCCGACTGTGGTAAGCCGTTGTGTATTTTGCATATTGGCTTTTTCGCGCTCTAGCTTTGCAACGGAGCAGTTTCAGAGAAAACCGTTCGAAATATCTGACCTTCCTTACCCGTTAAGTAGGTCGTATCCTTTGTGAGACGAACAAACACCCGAGAAGTGAGATTGAGAGTAACAGACAGACAGACACACACACAGACACACAGACCCAAGTACTGTAACCCTCGCTGTCGCATGCGCGCCGAGGGTTAATAACTGAGAAACACTGTTGGTTAACCAACCACATTGCTGCTATTACATCTCACAGTTACCAAACCGTAGCTAGAGTATTTGGCCCATTTCACCCCCTCTACACATTACCCGTCCAAGAAGAAAGGAAAAATTACCCACACAGGAAATACATATATATATCTACGTCTGCACCTTATGTATGTAGTGTGTAGGTTCTGAGTGCCAGTGAGTCTGTGCTATATATATACGTACTAGCTCCATGGAGGAGCCTCTGCGATGTTTGTTACAACAGATTCTGCACTGCCTGGGGTCATGTCTACTCTACATATTATAATGTGTACTATGCATATTCACCCCCAGAGACAACACTACAGCTAATTTATGGGACAGACAGACTGACGTGCAAGCAGACTGGCTTTGGCCACACTGTGTATAAGACTTGAGAGTAAACGGATGCTGTGTACAAAATGCATAGCATGTGTATAATGTGCCTACCAGGTGTATATACATGTGTGTAACCACACTCAGCCAGATCAACTTGTGAATTACACAGCTAGGCATGCAGTGCTTTTACAACAAACTTCAGATCAATGATGGAGAATTATCCAAGCAACTATGATAGCGAGTAAACAACTACTATATACACTTCATTTTTGCTATACTAAATACACATGTCAACAACTTGGTAACGAGGTAGAAAGTCAAGGCAAGGCAAACAAGTCAACTACACCCAGGACAGCTCTTTCTTTTCAAGGGAAAAAAAGAGCTGTCCTAGGTTGGATTCGAACTCACGACACTCTGCAGTCTAGGCGTTGCGCTCCACCAACTGAGCTATCACACTATGTATAAACTACAACAAGAAGCTGTTAAGTTATACTACCAAACACATTGTGCTTGAAGGAATAGACCAGTCCATTATGACACTCACCTTGGTCTCCTGTTGCTTTATCTCCTGCTCCAACATCTCAGCCCTGTAGCTCACCGCCAGTACCACATGCTTCACCCCAGCCTAGTGTAGTGGTCACAGCATCACAGAGCCAGGTTAAAAGGCGATGTGTATTTTTATGATGATCATTTATCCAAGTAGCAACTAATGTGTGTGTATTCGCAGTGGAAGGTTGCGATTCCAGCCACACTTTGGACGTGCAAAGCAGCTGCGTTAGCGAGGTGGCCGCATTTCCCGGTAATTTATGTAATACAAAGGGTTTGCTGAGGTAGCATGTTTGAGTTTGTATATAAATCACTTTGCACACTTGACAACAAATATATTGACCAGCCGGTATGTTATATCAATGCCTAGGAGATGAGATAGGGCAGCTACCTCAACTAGGATTAGTATGTGCTATGTACAGATAAAAGGTGATTGGTGATAATATTCTTATAGATGCGCACCCACGTGATCACTCACCGCCGCGAGCGCCTCTATCTGATGCAGTAGGATGGGTTTATTGGCGAACTCCACCAGCGGCTTGGGGCGAGACAGCGTCAACGGCCTCAGTCGCGTCCCAAAACCTCCAACCAAGATGAGGGCCTTCATTCTCGAGCCCGGCGCAATAGCGCGCGTGGTGTGGGTCAAAAGGTCAACCATGCGCGAAAGAGCGAAGCCCCTGCAGCGCAGTGTACTGCACTGCGCATCGAGCCCTTCCCACCACAAACAACAGGCTTGTTTTGGTTTGCTTCACTGTTTTCTTGCTCAATTCTCACTAAACTTTCATACCTATATATAGCAAGTGATGACTCAGTTTATGACCGAGAGGCATTTCTGGAGATCTAGCGGAGAGTCTCGTAACCTTTCCCAACCAGCGTATGGACTACATGGGCAGCGCGGGGAAAGGCGCCGAGGACTCTGCCCACACCATACGGAGATCCCGTGCCCTGGTTCACGCAGCTCTGCCGACCACAGGGGCGGCTCAGTTCGCCGCTGCGTTCTTCCCTCCGAATACCCGAGCTGCTGCCGCGATGGCCACGGCTGCTGCGTTCACCGCCGCAGCTGGGATGCCCCTCCGCCGCCCGGGAACCCCCTCTACGGCCGGTAAGCAAGCTGTCAGTTCCATTAGGTTTGTATAGTCGCGTTGACTGGCGGTCTGTTTGTGTTTAGTCCCCGAAAACACGCAGGTTTCTGCTCGTTCTCCATTGAGAAAACATCTGCAGGCTGGCTGGCTAGCTTTGTGCACCAGATGCCTGGTCTTTTGGTGCTAACGAGGTGCCTTGGAACGTGCAGAGGTCGCCGCTGTTGCTTTAGGAGCCGCAAACAGTTATGTAACGCTGTTGTCTGCACAGGAAATCTAGGCATGGCATCATCGTAATTCCTGTCGGTCCATGCCGCGATACATACATTTGCTGTACTTGTATAAACCTCGTTATTACGTTTTCGGAGCTCCGGAGCTGCAACGCGTGCACGCTTGCAGGCACAGGAGAGCGGCCGGTCGTGGTGTACGGCGGCAAGTCTTGAAGGTCATGCATTTCTGCGTGTACGTTTCTCACTGTGAGTTCTAGCACCCTAGATAGATGCGTGTCAGGTGCGCTGTGTGTCTATATTTGCACCACGTAATTTTCATGCTGTTTCGTTCTCCACTAGAGCTAGAGCTATTTTGCCTGAGGGCATGATCATTGCACCACGTAATTTTCATGCTGTTTTGTTCTCCACTAGAGCTAGAGCTATTTTGCCTGAGGGCATGATCATTGCTCTGTGTTATGTAGCTATTTGTGGACTTTCCTTACATAGCTACATGTTGCAGTTTACAAAAAATCTCAGAGCTTCGTGGTGTTCTTCCACTGACCCATATTCCTATACGATTGTGTGTGTGAGGTTAAAAAAATACGAATGGGTGTGGAGTGAGCTGGTGCCCTGTGCTGTACGAGTATCTCGACCACACCACTCGTTCCCATAAATCACGTATAGAACTCTAAACTCATATTATCTCTTACATATACCAAGGAGCATAATTTTGTGTACATACACTGTGTAGCCACTCCCAACAAGCACCCACTCCCATCGTTAATATCGAGTGGACCGATTGAGTTTGGCACTTACACATTCAGTGTGTGTGGTGTGATATCAGGAGCGAGAATTTTGATACGTAATTAATAATAATGGTGAATAGGCTAGTGCTTTTAGTGTTTGCTTGTAATGAAGGGAGAGGAAGCACAAATATAGAGAAAGGCTATATGAGGGTTTCAAACCTGTATGTACAACTATGTCTCACTTGCTGGGCAAAGACACTATCGTTGTGCTATGGAAGAGTTAGCTCCTAATATGCAAGTGTGATATTACATCATGTTGGAAAGGCTAAGCAAGATCAATAGGCTCGAGTTGAAGGAGATAAGCAGAAATTGATGTATAACATATTAGCGCCTAGTATTATAGCCATATATAAATTCTTATGCACTTATGGAGGCTCTGTGCATATATATATATGTAAATGGAGCCCAAAGGGTTTTAAGGAAAAGTTGCACATCAACTAACTATAATTGTAGGAGACACTCCAGAGCAATGAGATCACATTGCAAAAGCAACACTGCAAAGCCATAAACTTTTCTCGAATAAGCATACTTATTTCATAGCTACACGCACTCCATCTCCAGTGTACATGATATGGTGCTGCATACGTGTGTATAATGCAATCTATGTGCATCAATTGAGCCTTAGGTAGAGTTGATACTGTATCTTGTGATGTTGTGTTTGAAATCTGCACAGTAAAAAGCTATAGTAATTTGCAAGGTGGGCAAATTAGCGTCCATTAACTTGGTCTCAGTGTTACACCTGGTGTTGGAGTCTGGCACATTCTACAGACAGACACTATGTGCAACTAATATTAGGTGCTGAAATTTTCCTTTTAACCTGCATTGTTCAGTTCTTTACCATCATACTGAGCCTATGGGTAAGCTATAGCGTTCTAGTCCCTCACCTACTGAATCGTTGAATGGCTGGTGTGCCATCCGCACGACTCTTTGGAATTGTGGCCATTCATGTTCATTTTGGGATATGAAATACAGATGTATAAATGTTGTGGTGGTATATGCAAGATTGCGCAATCTTAGTATGGAACTGAAATAGCAATCTCCATACTAGCTGTACATCCACCATGCTCCTGTTCATAGGTGAAAATTAGATACCTAGGAAAATTTTGTGGGTCAAAGGTGGTAAAATTGGTTTTTGAGACTGGCTCATGAGTAAAGACTATTAGGCCAGTGACAATAATGCTTTGACTTGTCTTAAATGAAGTAACAATCTCTGAATTGGTAGCATTTGTTAGTGTTCGTCAGGTTTCCTATTGACCCTGAGAGCTGTATGTATGTAGCACGCTCAGCTATTGACTGAGTTACTCTCTATACAACATATGGGGAGAAAGCAGTTCTGCTGTATTGTATGCATGCCGAGTTGCCCTGGTAGCTCAGTTGGTAGAGTGCTCACCTGAGTGTCATGGGTTCGAATCCCACCCAGTACAGCTCTTCTTGGCAGCTCTTCTTTTTTCCTTCAGCTGTCCTGGGTGTAGTTGACTTGTTTGCTTTGCCTTGCCTTTCTACCTGGATACCTCGTTGTTGGCACATGCTGTGGTCTTTATCCACTTAGCACAATCTTTATCTTTCCCTGGGAGCCTATTGGAAGAAAAGGAGCTGCTAATGAGGGAGTTTGGCCATCTTTCTCTCCTGAGGGCCAACATCAGATTAGGGTCATCATTGTGGCTGTCTTTTGAGGACAATGGCAGAGAGAATTCCTACTTCTTAAAGCCTGCGCATGAAAGGACTCCGGTTTTCATCGATAAGAACGAGTGTTTGGGTATCCCTTATTAGAGAGGAAACGAGGGTCTTTCATACGAGTGTACGACGATGGTATCGGAAAGTTATTCATGTGGGGCTTGCATGCTCATACATATGTAAAGTGAGGTATTCGTGATACCTTAAGACCCTGACTTACCTTGAGTATGTTGCAAGAACTGACTATTACGAGGATGTTTTTAACACTCAGCGTGCTACATTTTTCCCTGTCGTACCTCATACAGTAGGTTTGATAAATTGCACGAATATCGAACATCCTAGCTTTTTGATCGTGTGAATATGAAAAGCCACTTGTAAGAATAGAGGGCGGTCTCTCTTTTGAAAGTATCCAGCGAAGCGAAGCTGTAGGGCCATGAGAGCTTTACACTGTGTGCTATGGCAGCGACAATGAGTGTGTCCAGGGAGTGAGTGAGTTGGAGGACACGGCAAGAGCTGGAGAGTCCGGCCGTGTCAGTGAGACCAGGCCTCATGCTGACCAGAAGCATACACTGTTCTACCTGCACGACTGTGAGTGTAGTGAACCAAGACACTAACTCCTTTGTTAACCGTTCCCCAAAGGCCAGTGCACATGTAAATGTAGTATTGTATAGCAGTTCAGGTTGTCTATTGGAGTTCATAGCTGCCCCATTCTAAATGTGCAGTGGAACAGGACACTTAGAACTACGTATATACAGCCTCTCCTCGGTGAGACTAAGTGGAACATTCTGTAATGGAAAAACATCTGTATAAAGGGCAATCATAACGATATTATTTTTATTCGGAGATACAGTATCTGTAACTGCAATAGTATAACCTTGGTTTTCTAAACAGCTTATGAATACAGACATACACATTTACAACATGGTGCCCAATTTCCTTCATCTACATGTGCACCATTTCCTGTCTTCAGTAGCTTATAATTAGAGCAGTTAATGGTGGTTATAAGCTTTGAATAATAGAGCATTTCCTGTTTGGTAAACCCCATGCCAGGTTATTGGCGTTCCCACTTCAGTACACTATACGCACTAAGCTACGAGTCCCAGATAAAAACTGGTCTTGCCCAATCCCTCGTTCTACGTACTACGTACACATGCAACATGTTGAAGACCTGGCCATGGCTTGCAATAGATAGCGTCCTCTACTGAGTGTTTCGTGTGTTTGTACTGACACCTACTGGTGAATTCTGAGGCTGGGTTAGTTGAATGCTGTGATTTTGGCATTGCCTTTCTTCACTCCCAAACATCTTGTATACAGAATATACTGAGCTAAACTCCTCCCACAACTAACCGAAAGGAAATATACTTCCACCAAGCATTGCTCTCGCACTCATTGTCACACAAAAGTGTCTTCTTTATTCAGTCTGACCCTACTCACTAGGTTGGGAACAACTACAGTTTAACCATTAATGGTGAAGTACGTAGGAAAACATCAATTACCGTGGAGAAATGGCAGTGCATGGTAACGGGTGGAGTAGGTAGTTGGAAGGTATAGGATAAAGCGTGGAGTAACTTTGAATGTGTAAGCCTATGGAGAACTGGAAAAAATATGGAACGCAGGGAGTAAACTTGAGTAGTTCAATTTGTAAATTTGTAAAGGTGTTGATGCTTCACTATGTGAAAATGAAAGGCCCTAAACAACAAACCGTCCTTTCAGACATACACATGCACATCAAGCACTGCAAGGTTTGACTGCCAGAGCAGTTTTTCACTCTGATAGAGGCTTGCTGCATCAGTGGTACTGGATATACACCCCCCCTCCTCCCAGGTGCACTGAATTGACTAAACCTCCGCAGTGCCTATTTCATGCCATTTTCTCTAACGGAAGAATCGCCTTATTCATGCCCTTATAGATCTGAAGCGGTTGGTGTCACTCATAGGCCGCCTCTTTACCATGTAGTTCTACAATAACAGTGAAGACGTGTACAGACAGACAGACAGACAAACCGAGTTACTTTAACCCTTACTGCACACGCTCGCCGAGGGTTAATAAGAATGTAGTGTAGCAAGCAGCTAAATTGTAATGCAGTGTGACCTTCATACAATGTTCTTATATGTGACAGCATCAGCTACGTACGTGGATGATTTAGAAGACAAGGTATATTATATATGTACGTAGGCTCACTTTGCTTTTACATTACCATGCACCTGTAGATCTTTGCCTTGAAATGGTATCATAGACACATGGTTGTTCATAATGGGGTTTCAGGGTAAACATTGGAAGTGGAGTATCAACGAATCACTATAACACAAAAACGGCTGTTATGGGCATACATCA